TCTCTGCTGCCAGCCAGAGGACAGTGCTAGCTGTGTGCCTGTCGTGGTGGGGTTATGAAGACGTGTGTGTGTGTGAACTTTATTGTCTTGTGAACGTGGGCTGCACCTTGGAATGCTAAGCAGCTAAACTGACCATAAATGCATGTGCATGCCCAGAACTGCACTGTTCCCCAAACCTACACTGCCATTTGGCTGCCACCGGAAGGTCGAAGGTTTCTTTTTTTCCCCTTCTTAGTTTGACAAGTCGTACATTTTTGTAGGGGACCTTGGAGGTAATGGCCTTTTTCTTCCTAGGAACCCCAGATTAGGTGGGGTGGTAGTGGTTGGTCTGTGGCCACTCAAAGGGACAGTGAATTCTAGATCTGCAAGACAAGCGATGGCCTCCAAAGTAGATGTTTCTTTTGCATCCTTAACACCAAAGGTCAGAACAGCTGCAGAGGTTGGGCTCTCTCACCCCTTCCCCATCCACAGCCAAACTCCTTGAAGAGAAGAGGCAGCAGATGCCGCTCAAAATGTAGGCGCAGCCTCAGTGCCTGTGTGTGGAGGACACACGGACATGCCTGCCAGGTTCCTATAGCTCTGCTGCCTGGTGCAGCCAGAGCTGCTGCTGCCTACCTGCCGGATAGGAGGTGGGAGCTCTCCTCTGGATGCTCCCAGGCCAGAGTCTCCAAAGGAAAGCGCCAGTCTCCTCTCTGTTGGAGGCCCCTCGTTCACCACCAGTGTCTATCTAACCTCACTGCCATCCACTGAAATGGATGGGAATGAAAATGTCTAGCCACACACACATCCCATCTCAGAAGTTCCCCAATAACTAAATGCTGTTCTCTTCCCAGTCCTGGAGTTTGCATTGGTCACATATGCTCCTAGTCTGGGCTGCCCATAGAGTGGGAGGGTGAGGGTTACTGCTGGTGATCTGCTCCCCACAGGAGAGCTAAGCAATCTGTCTGTCCCTCCTTTTAACTCTCCAGAACTGGAGTATATGTGGCCCCTTGCCTCATACATTCATTTCCAGCCACCCACTGCTCCAGACATCCCCAGACAACTTTCTCCCCTAGTTGGCACCAGCTCATTTGCCCTGTGTGGCACCAATGTCCTTAAAAACACTTTCTAGTCTCCTCACTTGCTGGACTTGATCAAGCCCCACTAAGATGGTTCCTGAACTGTCTGCTGGGCAGCCTTGCTGGATCTTGGCATCCACTTCTCAATGAGGGCAGCTCTTGGTTTCTGCTCCCTGCTGGTAACTATCCAGAATTTCAGGGGCTCATAGAGCTTCCGGTGGGACCAGAGAGAGTCACCAGGGTCAGAGTAGGTGCCAACCACACTATTGCTCGATTGTTCTGGCAAACCCTGCTTGAGTTTGGATGGGATGAACTGGTTGCCCAGAGCTCAGCAGGTGTATTGGTTTCTTCCCATTCTCCATCTCTCACAGACACCGATCGCTAAACAGCAGGGTAAAACCTTGCAGGCCTCACTCCAGGAATTCTGCTTAATGCAACCAAACTTCAGTCAAAGCTGGTATATGTTCCATCCTAGAAGGGAACCATGAAGGGATGCTATAAAGAAGGTGATGATGTGGTCCCAGTGTGCAGTGGGATTGAAGTCTATATGGGGAAACAAATGGCCACAAGTGAGTTAAGAAGTAAAAGGCTGAGAAGAACATCTGATGGGCTGGGGAAGACTCCTTGGGGGAGGTGGAGCTCTCATGGGCCTTGGAAGCAGATAAGATCTGGATAGGGGAGGGGACATGCCCATCTATAATGGAAGGAAGCAGCAACCCAGCACAGGACACAGGCAGGCATGGCACTGGTCCCTCCTATCTCTCCCTCACCTGATCTCACCTCCACTGCCATACTTGGCTCCATTTCTGGTTCTGTGTCTTGTGACTGACTCATTTGCTTATGTGTCCTGTTTCATCACACATCATAGTTGCTTTGTGTTGGCTCCAGGGGAGTGTTGTTTGTGTCTATCGGGCAACAGCAAAGACCTGCCCTGGAGTTCCCTGAGTTCCTAGGCTCTTGGACTGAACTCCCTACTGGGTTGTCACCTGGAAACCCACCTCTCTAGGAGGCCCCCTGAAAGACTAATAGCAAGCTCCACTTGATGCTGTAGGCCAGTAGGTATCTGTCAGGTCAATTTTGCCCTTAGACATTTGAGTAACCATGCCTTTGGTTGTCACATGGGGATAGAAGATACTACTGTCATTGAGGATGAAGCCAGGGGAGATGTCTGAAAACAGTTCAAGGTACAAAATGCCTGCCACATCCAAGCCGATTCAGTCCCAAATGTAGGTGGTGCTGATCTTGATAATGGCCCTGAGCCAGAAGCTGTCAGGTAGGAATTGCCGTTCCACTTGCTGCATGTGTCACAAAAGTGTTTGGAAATAAGAAGCCATTAATAAGTATGAATAATGAAGACAAGATTGAAGAGGTGTGTGTGTTTGTGTGTGTGTGTGTGTGTGTGTGTGTGTGTGTGTGTGTGTGTGTGTGTGTGTGTGAGTGCGTG